GAGAGAGAGAGAGAGAGAGAGAGAGAGAGAGAGAGAGAGAGAGAGAAAGAGAGAGAGAGAGAGAGAGAGAGAGAGAGAGAGAGAGAGAGAGAGAGATGAATTGGTTTGGTCGGTGAGAGAGAGAGAGAGAGAGAGAGAGAGAGACATCAAGATAAAAATAAAAAGTAAAATACTACCATACGACTACCTACAAGCTTTGTGCATGCATGTACGGTTGTCGTGATCAACTGACAACACATGTGTCTGATGTGTCTATCCTCTCGCGCCTATCCTCAACACGAACGGGCCCCTATGCACAATGCGCTGGAAGGCAAGCACAAGAAGTTGCATGCATAGATTCACTCTATCAGCACAAGATGCCAAAGGCCAATGCAGCGCTGCAGAAACCGTGAATATTAGCAATCTGTATCTGGGTATGTGTGTGTGTGTGTGTGTCTGTGTGTGTCTGTGTCTGTGTGTGTCTGTGTCTGTGTCTGTGTCTGTGTCTGTAACTGTGTCTGTGTCTGTGTCTGTGTCTGTGTCTGTGTCTGGTGTCTGTGTCTGGAGTCTGGTATCTGTATCTGTGTCTGGTGTCTGTATCTGTGTCTGGTATCTGTGTCTGGAGTCTGGTGTCTGTATCTGTGTCTGGTGTCTGTATCTGTGTCTGGTGTCTGTGTCTGTGTCTGGTGTCTGTGTCTGGAGTCTGGTGTCTGTGTCTGGAGTCTGGAGTCTGTGTCTGGAGTCTGTGTCTGGTGTCTGTGTCTGGTGTCTGTGTTTGGTGTCTGATGCCTGTGTCTGGTGTCTGTGTCTGATATCGTTCCGAACTCTTCCTATGCATCTCGGTTTCTCTTCGCGAGGCATTCATCTCACTTTTTGGATACTCCACACGCTACTTTGCATCGTCAATGATAAAAGGACAGATTTGTCAGATATCCGATGAATTGAGGACAGTCCATGATGGTATCATGATGATGAGGGTGTGTGTAGCTTGGACGGTGGTGAGGCAGGTGCCTCACAGCCTGGTTAGGGTTGGCAGCGGCGCAGTTCTCCTGGGACCGATCGTGGCGTTTGACCAGCCACTCGTGCTGAGCTGGGTCTCTGGACAGGAATTGGTACACCTATTGTCATTTTCCCACTTCTTTCGAACCCAAAACATCCATCGATTCATCCGCTTCTGTCGCTTTCGAGTATTTGACGTGAAGCGTCACAACATGGCCTTGTACTATGATTACAGCGGGCGCACAGCCTTTGTGACTGGCGCGGCGTCGGGCATGGGTCTGGCCGCGGCGACCGGCTTTGCCCAAGCGGGAGCCAACTTGGTGATGGTGGATCGAAACGAGGAGGCATTGACTCGGGAGGCACAACAGCTCACGAATGCTGGTCATCGAGTGCTCCCCGTGGTCTGTGACGTGTCCAAGGAGGTCGAAGTGGAGCAGGCTGTGCAGCGGGCCGTGTTAGAGTTTGGCAGCTTGGACGCGGCGTTCAACAACGCGGGCATTCAAGCCAATGCGACAGATTTGGCAGACACTTCATTGGAAGACTATGATGTCATGTTATCGGTCAACTTGCGAGGCGTTTTTGCGTGCATGAAGTACCAGCTGGCCCAGATGCGCAAGCAGGGGTCGGGATCCATTGTCAACAACTCGTCCTTGGGCGGTTTTGTTGGTGTGCCCGGTCGCTCACCGTATCTGGCAGCCAAACATGGCATTCACGGCCTGACCAAGACGGCAGGTCTCGAATATGCAGCGCGTGGCATTCGCGTCAATGCCGTGGCACCGGGTATCATTGACACGCCCATGGTGGCGGGCATGATGCAGGCGGAAAAGGGCGTGATTGAGGAGCAGATGCGCGACGTGCCCATCAAGCGCTTGGGCACGCCAGAGGAGGTGGCGGCAGCCGTGCTCTGGTTGTGCAGTGATGCAGCAAGCTTCGTGGTGGGCCACGTGATTGCGGTCGACGGTGGATATGTTGCGAGATAAAGGCATCCTCGCTAGAGGAAGAGCGAACAATTGATATCGTAGTTGATAATCGTGAACCTGTTTCGCCATCAGGGATGTGCACACAGCGCCCGATGCGCCCCTTGTTTCAGCTGCTGGCTGCTTGGTGACACTGCCAGCAAGCTTCTAAGAGAGCGCGCACGCGCGATCGGTGCTTGCTCCCGAAAGAAAGAAAGGATCAAGCCTCACTTCAGCATCATGCCTCACGTCGCTCCAGCCCCTCCAGCACTCGGCATACTGATGGCTCCCAGCACTCGGCATACTGATGGCTCCCAGCACTCGGCATACAAGACTTCCTTCCTTAAGAAAAAGGCAAAAAATAGACTGGCCAACAGCACCATGTATTCCCATCTGGTCACCCACGATAGTACTAGCATGGCCCAACATGGCTTAACTGCGGCGATCGGACGAGAGCCGGTGTATTCCATGTGGTATGACCGTTGGCGGAAGATGCACGAGCTGAAACTGTATATAACCAGACGTCTGGTCAGCGTGCACCTTGAGGCAACCGTCATCATGTTCAGGCGACTCATGGGTCCTTGGTTGCGTCGATGAAAATTGTGCGCCATGAAGAAGGCTTCGAGCCCCAACCACACACTCGCCACCTTACGTAAAAACGATGGCAGAAACGGATATGCAATTATTCTACTTTTATCTACATTACCCAACACTGAAAATATTACTACAAAAACGTCTTGTTTATATTTTGCTTCATTTACTCTTTGAGTTCAAAGGCTCGGTGGCTGTTCATTATGGTGTCAAAGTTCCACCACTACGCGCCAAAAACCACGCGGCTTGCGTGTGATCCTGACATTTTGTCCCACGTACCCCCTTGACTCACATGAAGCCCAAGTTCGGCACTCGCTCGGGCCCCTCCAAGGGGTCGAACCGCCGGACCAGGCTGCGCGCTGCGCTGAAGGCGCCAATCAAAACCAAGGGCTGTCAAGGAGGGCCAGGAGCAAGGTGAAGGGGGCGCCTGGGTTGGTGCCAGGTTGGCAGTCGATCTGAGCATGCCGCCCTTCCGCAGTCCTGCGTACCACCATGCAAGCTATCACCAGTCTTCCATGCCAGTCTGGACGAAAAAGCACCAATCAAGTTGGCTGATGCATTCCTCCCGGATCTTCACCCAACCACAACGTGCGAGGGAATTTATGTCGGAAAAATTGAGAAAAACAACGTCAGCGTGGCGCGCAATACCAACGTGTAGGCCGGGCACACGCGAGATCCTTCTTCGCGACCAGCTTACCCCCATGAGCAAGCTGCACTTGGCCACACAACCCCCTTTGCGAGGACCACTTTTCCGCACGCTCCACTCTCGATGTTTGCCACAACATACATCCGCATGAAAGGCGTGTTTTTGGTCTTTTTTTTTGACAACTCACGCTGCTACCGCTACAAGCAGTCGCTGAGTTCAGCAGTCGGTTAGTACGGCAGTCGATATCTGGTAAAGCATGGCCCGCTGCGTATCATACCACGGCAGTCACGACTCGTGGCACGACAACCAACTCAATCAAATACATGTATCTCACTCCCCTGCCCACACACGACTGTCTCGACAAGTTCGAACTCCCATTTTCTCCTAGTTGTATTGTTGTCCTCCATCCGGACACGTGCCCACAGACCCCCTATCAACCCGATCACAAAACAACGCGCTGCCCCAACTCACCCCCACGCAGCCCGTCCTGAATTCGGACGTGGTGGCTGGAAGATTCCGCCACAATCCAACTCGCACCACACACTCACAACGCCACCTGCCTCTCTCTCTCTCTCTTTCTCTCTCTCTCTTTCTCTCTCTCTCTCTGCTCGCATTTTTCTTCTGCGTCGTGTCGTCGCCTTTTCCTCTCTCTCTTTCTCACTCTCTCTTTCTCTCTCTGCGCGCTTTCTGGTCTCTGCCCTTCCTCCTCCTCCTCCTCCTCCTCCTCTCTCTCTCTCTCTTTTTCCGTGTGGCTGGCACCTTGGGCGGGAGTCAACAGTGGCATGAGCCATTCACCGATTTTGGCCTTTCATCACAACATGGCTGGCTATGGACTGCATCACCCTGGGTTTTGGTTTGATGGCACCTTTACTTCGGCCATCCCCGATCTCACCGCCTTGGCTGGACGCATCGAAGCGGCCGTGGACATTGGCGCCAACCTGCTGCGCAAGTCAGAGGACGACAAGCGCCGGGCCATGAAGATGCTCCTTCTTGTCCACCTCACACCTTGCCTTTCCGAAGACATGCAGACCCGTTTGGCGGAGCACATTGCCTCTGGCGAACGCCTGGACCCCCAGTCCGTGGCTGAAGCCCTCGCCGGCTTTGAAAGCAAGAGCATCAGCAGCCGCTGGACAGACATGCATGGCCAGATGCCCGAGCAAATTCACAACGCCACCCAGCTGACAGATGCCATCCGCGCCATTCGTGGTCAATTCACCGAGGAACGCCTGTGCGACTTTAGCGTCCTGACCATCCTGGACACCACCATGCGCTTCAAGCCATCCTTCTTCTCCCGCACCCTGCAGAACCACAGTGCCTACCCAACCAACACGGTCGACGAACTCTTGCAGCTGGCCAAGCTCATCACCCCTATTCCCTCCCTGCCCGAAAGGACTCGTCCTCGCAGTCCCAGCCTTCGCCGAAGCCCCAGCCCCCTCAGTGGCAGCCCCTTGCGCCGCGCCCTGTCTCCCAACCCACCAATCATGAGCTCCTCGCCCACGCAAAAGCTCACACCCATTCGCTTGGGCTTTCATGCCGCGTAAACCCCTTTCTTCATTCTGGTCCCCTCTTGCTTTTTTTGTTTTTACTTTCTTTTCCTTTTTTCTCGTCCCTGCCATTCCTACATCCTTCGTTCGTGGTCTTCACGATCCTCGTCGCCATTTTAGCGCCTGTGCGCACGTCCCGCAAGCTTTGGTCGATCCTTTGATCCCCTTGCCTGTCGCTGTCTGTTTCTTGTGCCTTTTTTACGTTTGGGCTTTTTCTTTCTTTCCCCCTTTTTTTTTTTTTTTTAACGGGACTGCTCATTCTCCTTCTTGACTTCTCCTTGACTTCACCTTCTTGAACGACTCGCGTAAATGAAAACACACACCCCAATCCGCTCCCTCCCTTCCCAATTGCTCGCGAACCGGCCTTTGCTCCTTGGTGTGTTTGACAAATTGATCATTGAAATATATTGTCGATCCCGATCCACAGGCTGGCCACTTGATCACAGATGCATATTATTCCACACGCCGAAGACAAGGATTGATCAAATCTGTGACAGCCATCAGCGCCTCATACACCGTCAATCGGTAAAGCAACCATACTCTATAAACTGGATTCCGCCGGCTCATCAAAGGCCCATGCGGGATTGGCCACGTGCGCCTTTGTACCATGCAGATGCGACTCGACAGCCTGCAGGACGGCGGCCGAGTTTGGTCGCCGACGAGGCTCGGCCTCCCACATACTTGTCAGCAAACTAGACAGGCACCCGAGGCGAATGAGCCGACACAGCCAACAATACCCCGCGGCATCTTCAGTCCGATCCCACCACCAGCTCACCTCTGCAATAGAGGCGGCAGGTTGCTTAGTTTCAAACGACTGCCACTCTGCAACTTTTCCAAAATCATTTGCAAACCAATGGCACCGTAGGGGGTCTGCCCTTGGTTGAACACCTGTTACTCCGCCACCAGAGCATCGTCGATTAGTTTGAATGAGCCGCTCCTACTTCAACCACACACCCAAGGCCTCACCTCCCACATGGTCACCCCAAGGGCCCACACGTCCGAGGCAAAGCCGAAATGCCCTTTCGATAACGATTCTGGTGCCATCCACCTGCTCGAGTCACACCCAGCAGTGAGAGGCGTTTGTTCCACTGCCTGCGCAAAAGCGACAAGGTCCACGCACCGAAAAGGAGTGTTGTCTAAACTGCTGGCTTGATAATAGTCGTGCGTGTCGGAGAGATAGCGACTCACTACCAGCAATCAATCAACAATATATACATCCGGATATGAGAAGCCATGTTGCGAGCCATCTTGGAGAAAAACGGGTTCACTTGATGACGTGAAACCCCAGAGGTGGCGCCCAGTTCAACTCAAACGCACAGCCAAAGTCGGCAAGCTTGGCTTGAGGGACCTCAGAATGTGAAGAGGAAAACAACAGCACATTGCGGCTCGCCATGTCCCGATGCAACAAGCCACAGGTGTGCACGTGACAGAGCCCGCTTGTAAACTGTGCAATCATTTCCAGCTATTGGAAAAAGTTATGCCCGTCGTCAATGAGCATCCATATCAACAGTCACGCTTGAACGAGGGTACCAAAAGTCAAACCTTTGCATCTTCGCTCAGGTTTGCCCCATCCTGGCCCCGTAAAAATTGCCGAAGATCGCCCCGGTCAGCATACTCCAAAACCAGAGCTATCGGCATGCTGCCAAGTTACAGACAGAAATCATTGCCAGGTGAGAACTACCTCGAGCGCTACGCGATGACCCTTGTGCAGTGATACCTGTCGTGCACCACCGCCAAAAGCGAAACAATGCCAGGGTGATGGCTTGCCCGGTGCATTAAGGCAACTTCTTGCACCACGGCACGATAGTCCTCCACCTGATTGATGTAAAGGCACGCAAGAAGTCATGTGAGCATGAAGCGCATGGAATTCATCCGCTTCCAACCCATTTCACACGCAAATAGATATACCTGCACGTCAGAAAACTGTTTGATGGCCACAACGGCAGTAGCACCAAACAATTCGCGATGCTTAGAGAGTGTTGCCTACCAAGCCGTCACAGAGAATGACACGACGCATCAACAATAGCACCCCTCCCCTAGAAAAAAAAAAAAAAAAAACGCATCACCCCAGCGCACGTCACTTTGCAAAAGCACCCAACGAACCGTGCGGACGCGCCCAAAATTACCGCGCCCAATCTCGGGCCCGAGCCGCAGCCAAGAACTGCGAGAACACCAGGCAGCAGCAATGAGGACATAGGCAATACAGCAGAAAAGAAAACCATAAAGGGCGACACCTTACAGTGATACAAGGGCTGGTAGCTCCTGCGGTGCTGGAAGCTGAGCACCCTGGGCAAACGCTTCTCGACGCAACGTAGCATCCAGCTCGGAGAGGCACAATTCTAGCTGCCCTGCTGCTGACATGGGGACTGTACCATCGCCTTCATCGCTAAACAATTTGCCGCGGAACGCTTGTGACCGGCTGCTACTGCTGTTGGCCCGGCGGCTCCACCACCACCACCATAACACCGCGACCACAATGGCTGCGATCAGAGCTACCACAACTGCAATGATCACCTCACTTTGTCCGCTGCCAGAGGAAGCGTCCACGCGGGCCGCATCGCGCGTGGTGCTTCTCAGAGAGGCCGTTGTGGACAAGGCGGTTGTCAATTCCACAGCGCGTGTTGTGGTGGAAGCTGGCACGGTGGCTCGCTGTGATGGAACTTCGGGAAGCTCGGTTCTGGTTGGAGCAAGGTAGAATTCAGTTTGATTTAGGAGCGGCGCGAGCGTGCGTGTCATGTCCGTCGCAACTGGCGCAGTGGCAGCTACAAAACGAGGAACGTCGAGGCGTAACACCTCGTGGGCCAAGATAAGTAATGCGTCGTCGTCAAACTGAGCCAGTCCAGCCACAGCGGGTGCGTCAGGTGGTCCGCGATAGATGAGAACGAAAACACGGGTGGCCAAGTTGACAAGCAGTACATGTACACGCGCTTCTGGGCCCACGCAGCTGACCAAGACCGTAGTGTTGCTTCTGGACCAGGCCATTACGTCCAGGGGCTCTTGACACTGGCCCACTAGAATAGCTGTGCGCAAACGGACACCCAGAGTTGAAGTATAGGTCCAGTGGGCCAAAGCCAGCGTGTTCTGCAGACGCATCGTCAGCACAAATCCGTTGCCCATTGCCTCGTGCACGGCCAAAAAGGCAGCGTCATCAGACGTTTGCAGTTGCAGCTGGGCACGTAGCAATCCAAACTCATCGCTGCTTGCTGCGGCCTCGAATACCAGGACGGAATCATTCGTGCCAAGAAACAAAATGGGTGGCTGCGGGGTGCTGCAAGCATGAACCATGGAGGGGAGACGAAGACAGGCGCTCGCACTGTGTATGACAGCAGAACCGGCCTCGACAAGTAAGCTGCTGCATACCACCGTGTCATTGTTATGGAGCGCATTGCTCCTCGTGTAGACCAGCCGTTCCCCGTGCATGACCATGGCAGTAGAAGTTGAGACATTGGGCAGGGCCACAACGGAAGATAGATTCAGCCGCAAGCCGTAGTACACCAGCAAATTCACCTGGCCGGCCTCGGAGAGGTAGGGCAGAAGTACGCCAGACTCGGTCGTCAAGAGTGGCTGTGACGGTGACGTAGGCACATTAAGCGCGGGCTCGGTGCACACGATGTGACTGTACGTAAGAACGGACCAACGTCCGTCCGTTAGTAGGTACGTTTGTATCTGACGCGTGCCAAGGTCGTCAATCAGGCCAAGAAACAAAAGATGGGTCTCAACGCGCAGCCCCCAAAAGCTGGCGTTGGCTCGCTCCGGCACAAGATATGGCTCGGTTTGATAGCCTGGCAGATGGTACCTATAAGCGCCAACACGAGCCAGCCACCGTGATGAGGAAAGAATAGAAGACAGGAGGAAGGGAAGGAGAAAACGAGAAGCGCAGCGCATCACAAAAGAGGTTAGCATGATCAGCTGGGACGTCTGCCTTGGCCCTGAAAGCAACGTACAAGGGATTGGCATACCAGCCGGCAAAGCTGGTCTCGTAGGTGGAGATTGTGACATCGATGTCACCATCATTGTCCAAGTCTCCAAGCGCCAGACCCTGAGGGCTACTGATCGAGCCGTTGAGCTTAACTGCTGGCATAAACTCGCCACCGCCAGAGTTGGCATACCAAGCCACGGAGTCGTCCAGATCGTTCGTGGACACAAAGTCTAGCGAGCCGTCGCGATTCAAATCCGCGGTGGCCACCAGACTGGGTCCAGCCACGGGGTTGGCTAAAATGCGTAGCCTGGAAAAAGAAAAGGCGCCCTTGTTTCGAAACCAGATGATGCGTCCGGCTGCTGTTTCAGCACAGATGATGTCACGCAAGCCATCGCCATCGACATCCGCCAAAACAACACCGGTTGGGCTTTGCAAGACCGAGGAGATGACGTAGGGGGAGTCAAAATTACCGGCGCCGCGATTTGGGAAGAGGAGCACTGCACCAGTATAGCTGGTGCTGACAACATCCACCCAACCGTCTTTGTTAAGATCTCCAAGGCTGAGCGCAAGCGTGCCCTCAAGACCGCCATTACCTTGAGACGCAATGATGCGTGCAGACTCAAAGCCACCAGCGCCTGTGTTGCGATACCAAGCCACGACATGATCGCCGACGCTGCTGCAGAGGACGTCCGGCCAGCCATCGTTGTCAAGATCACCAGCCGTGACGAAGAAGGCGCCCATGGCAGTGTCAGTAATGAGCGCGGTTACGAAGCTGGCCCCGTACCCAGTGTTGCGAAACCAACGCACGGTATCATCGGTGCCGCTGGCGCACAGGACATCCACATGGCCGTCGAGGTCGAGGTCGGCAGCGTGGACGGAGAGCGGGTTGAGGGTCAGAGTCGAAATAATGTCCAGGGTGGCAAAGCGGCCGGCACCCAGGTTTGGGAACCATGCCAGAAAGTCGTTGGTGCTGCTGGCGGTGATGACATCGAGAAGTCCATCGCCGTTCAAATCGCCCGCCGCCATGGTGTACGAGCCGACCGCCGAGATGCCAAGCATGCGCACGGCAAAGCTTGCACCCGAATCTTCATTGCGAAACCACAAAGCTTCATCTTCACCCTTGGTACAAAGCACATCGGCTTGACCATCACCGTCGAGGTCACCCGTCGTGACCATGCGGAGTGTGTTGAGGGAGCCCTGAATCAAGCGCCGAGGCCCAAAGGCGCCGTTGCCGAGGTTGGGCAGCCACAGCAAGTGCTTGGCATCACGATCCCCTACGACAATGTCAAGCCAGCCATTGCCGTCTAGATCTGCAGCAGCTAGGTAGCGGGGGCTATCGAAGCCTGTAACAATGACGCGCTCGGTCGAGAAAGAGCCGTTGCCGTCGTTGACACACCAGGATACTGCGCCATTTGCCGTGGGTTGACTCTTGACGACATCGAGATCACCGTCACCATCCACATCAATGACGACGAGTGCGGGACTACTGATTTTGTCGGTGTTGATCTGGATACTTTCAGACGCAAAAGTGGCGTTGCCCAAGTTGCGAAACCACTCGATGACGTTATCCCCAGGGCTCGAAGCCACCACGTCCAGGAGCCCGTCATTGTCCATGTCGTAAGCTCCGATAGAACGTACTTGAGTGCGCGTAGACAAGAGGCGCGGGGCGTCAAACTGCGCTTGTCCATGGCCACGGCACCAGGTATAAGTACCTTCGTTGAGGCTTGCCGCCAGGAGATCCATGTACCCATCCCCGTCCAGGTCGGCGACATTCACGTCCGTCAAGTACGAGCCAGCCACGAGGATGAGCGCAGCGTCAGCAAAGTTACCTCCACCCAAACCGCGCAGCCAATAAACATGACTGTCCTTTTTGCAGCCAACGATGATATCCACGTGCCCGTCGCCATCGAGGTCGGTGGCGCGCACCACACTGGGCTCGTTCCCGACATGCGCGAGCGCGACCGAGGTGCTAAAGACACCGCGCCCCTCATTGCGATACCAGGCTGTCAGGTTGTTGCTCGGGCCCACAGCGACGACGTCCAAGTCGCCATCGTCATCGAGATCAGCTGCCAGCACGCAGTTGCTGCGCTCCGCGACGAGGGCAAGGTTAACCTCGTTCCAGGCACCGCCGTCCCGCACGGCCATCAAGTCGGGACCAGCAAAAGCAACTGTCGAGCTATTGCTGGCCAAGGTCGTGGCTACCCAAGCGCAAGCCACAAGGCAACACAGAATCATAGGCAAGTGCGTCGAGCCAAGGCCCCGCCTCCGTGCCCCCTCGTACCAGCGCATTTCTACGTGCCGGCCTCGGCCCGAGCGCCCTACCCCCCGGACCACAAGGCTTTCAAAATCAAGCCACCATTATCCCCCTCAACCCCACCTCTGCACCATACACACACAGCCACAACCCCCACCCC